GAGACTGCGGGAAAATTGATCCCACCTGGGACTGAGCCCAAGAAGGGTCTGAAGCTTGGATTCGGTCTTGCGTCGCTTCGTCGGCTGGCCTGCCTCGTCGCGCGCCTGGCTCTGCTCCCTCTCTCGCCGTGTCAACTCCTCGATAATCTTCCTGAACATCTTGGGCGCTTCGCGCCACAGCTTGACAGCCTTTGCCCACTGGCCCTTGGCGAAACACTTTCCGAGCTGCTCGAGGTACTTCTGGTTCTTCGTTGTCGAGATTCCAGTTGCAGAGAATAGGTCTTCAAACTCCTCCTTCAGAGGAACAGCCAGGCTTCTAACGTTGACGGGCTTGAAGCCACCGAGCAGATCACCGGCTTCACTCTGTTGGGACAAGTTTATGGCAACCAACTTGTGGCCCAAGGTGTCCGCCAGCTGCTGGACGACCGTCGTCTTTCCGATACCGGTCTCGCCAACAAGCAGGATGGGCTCGGCCAGGTTCACGGCAACAGCCGTCTGCTCCAGCAATTTCTTGGCATGCGTGGTACTAGCAAAGGGCCTCTTGGAGAGAGCGACCTTGTTCACGCGCTCTTTTCGCTTGCGCAGGGTCGTGCGGCCGATCTTGAACTGGCTATCGCTTTGCTCCAGGTGCGGGACGTAATGGTCAAAGTGATACTCTACTAGCTCCTTCGCCATATGCATCTCCTCGGCTATGCCAAAGGTTAGGTGTCGCTTGACTTGCGCGTCCGGAATGCCCGCGACAAAGCAGTCGACGGCCTCCATGAACATCCAGTTTCGGGTAGTATCAGTGATGGGCTCCTCGCCGGTGCTGCATCCTGCTGCAGAAAGCGTAGCCGTAAGGCGTCTGCACCATCGTAGGAGATCCCGCAAACTAGTCTGGCGGTCAGCCATGCCACGACTGGAGGAGAAAGGCATGTTTCCGGAAACCGGCTTTGACAAGCGCCGGTAAACAGCAAGGATTCCCGGGGCGAACTTGTGGAGGATGGGGTAGGACCCGACGATGATGTCCTGCAACTCGGTCTCCGTGGGTGTATGCACGGAAAGAAGCTGCCAGAAGCGCATGCCGAGGAGATTTGGAAGCGTTTCCCTGCCATGCATGCCCCGGGAGCTTCTCACAGTGCCGAAAAGGCGGAATCCGTTGGCGGCCTTAATCCTTTCGCCCCTGCTTGGGATGAGAAGCTCGCCTCGCTCGACGAGGGGCAAGAGCGTGCTGATGACTTCGTTCGGCGCTCTGTCCAAGTCTTCAATGAGAACCCAGCGGCCTTCTCTGACGGCAGTCGTCAGAACACCGGCTCTCCACGAGAACGTACCCGGCTTCGAGTCCGTCGAGTAGAGCCCGATGAGCATCTTGGCGTCTGTCTGCTCATTGATGTGTAATGTCACCATCTCGGAATGCTTGCCGAACTCCTTGGCAACTTCGTGGACCAGTGAAGTCTTTCCAGAGCCGGGAAGGCCGTGCAACAGAATCGGACTTGAATTCTTCAGGAGACCGGCCAGGGCCTCGAGGTTTTGGATGGTAGTGGACGTCTGCACAAGGGACGAGTTTTTCTCGACCGGTCCGGACGGTCGCGGCAGTATTGTTCTGCCGTAGCATGCAACGAAGGGGGTCAGGGTTTGCGGTGGGACAGGATGGATTTGATTGCTCTGGAACGCAGCAGCGCGAAGCTCACGGCGCAGCGCCGCAACCTTGTTGACGCGTGCATCTTCATACAGACTCAGAAACCCATAGTCTACTTCGCGCCCATCAAAGTCAGCGAGGATGGCCTCATTCGTTCCGACATGCTCGTGGACGAGAGCTTCCAGTTTCGAGTCGGCTGCGCGGAGAAGCTGGCTGAATATTCGGATCGCCAAGTACCTGACGGCGCGGCTCTCATGCGTGAAGAGAGCTTGCATGTGAGTTGGCGAAACCAAGATACCGTAGGTCCTCTGGTCGAAACAAACCAGCCGCCATGCTGCCAACAATAACCGCAAGAGGTCGGTATCTTGAGCGGGAGTGAGAGTGGTGAGGTTGGGAAATCGGAGGTTCAGCGCCTGGGGTCCCTGGGGTGGCGTCTTTGTCAAGTCCTCTCTCATGACATGTTGTATGAACTCGGATAAGTACGGAGCGAATGACAATATCCTTGCAAGAGAAGCAAGTACAGGTCCGTTGTTGGTTTGATTCCTGGGGTTGAGGAGCCAACGAGCGCAGATGTCGGGAAAGACATTCTCAAAGTGAATGAAAATTCGATCTGTAAGTTGGGGGATGAGAGCAGCCTCTGCGATGGCGTCGAGGAGGTTTGAGGCCGTGTGATTTCTTATAACCTCTAGAATTTCGGTTGGTAGATGCTCCAGGACGATTGCATCGTTCAGGAGAGCGCTCCTCTGCGATGACACATCAATCGCGGCCATGGCTGCGGCTCAATTTCAAGATATGTCGTCCGCGGTGATGTTCATGGGAGGCCGGTTTGTATGTACCTCCAATTATTTTTTTTTTCCTCACCTACTAAGAGAGAGGGTGGGACCCTGCCACTCCAGCCAAAGGCAACTTTTTTTTTTTTTTTTTTTTTTTCCTTTTCGGATGGAGCGACCTGGCAAGGGGTCCCTGCACCTGCTGTCGGGGCGGAAGGCGGCGCTACAAAGCCCCCGAGCCAATCAGAGACGAGACGACTCTTCAACCCATTCACGCGACTGGAACCATTAGGCAGCTCGAAAAACTTCAAGCCAGAGATATTCCGAGCTTGAACCTCCCTGCTTGCTTGAGGCCGACTCGACGACAACCCGCTCCGCTCCTCACCAAAACGTCAATTGGGCCCCCCCGCTTCCTCTCTCTCTCTCTCTCTCTCTCGTCCCACCTTGTCGCATACACACGATACAATGGCGCTCTCTTGCAGATACGCAGCTCAGAGCTGCGCCCGTCAGCTCCGTGCCACCGGCTCGCTGCGTGCCTCGACATCCCTCTTCCAGACCCGAACTCCCGCGACCGCACGGAGGTACAACTCCACCGAGGCCGCCGCTCCCACGAATCCCAAGATTGCCGCCATCGTCGACCAGATCAGCACGCTTACCCTCCTCGAGACCGCAGACCTTGTGTCAAGCTTGAAGGTTAGTTGAAATGCGACCATACCTAAGATGAAGCGTTAACCGTAGTTCAGCAAAATATTTATCGCCGGGGCCTAAAGATTCAACAATATACCCTTGTAAAGAAGCTAGGGTAATCTAGTCGCGGAGCGCTTAGCCTACGGGTGAGGTTACGTATACCCGAAGGTATACTTTCATATGCAAATGGCGTAATCCCTGGTACCGAAAAGGCAAGCCTTCCTGTGGGGTCACCCCCTCCTCCGGTGGTCTGGATATGACCTTATCTTTTTAGGTATCGAGGGCAAAGCACATCATCATTACAGGGCGGTCCCCAGTTAAAAATTTTGTGGCGCAATGAACTATGACGTTTAAATATCTCTACCCCTGAAACCTCTCCGGGTATAGCCCGACGTCG